CGGATTGCCTCAAAACAGCTGCACACTTACCATATTCATGAAGGTCCTGTCAGTTCCTTTCATGAAAATGAAAAACAATTAAAGTACTTTATAAACTGTAATGCGAGTCATAGAATACAAATTCAACTTCAAAAAGACTTTTCTGATAATGTTTTGTCCCTCAAAGATGAATGGATTGCGGAAACAGAATACAACAGTTGGTTGTACACCAGGAGTATCCACATATCTTTCCTTGCTAAAATATATTATAAAAGTATCTTTCAGAAGATTTGTTGTTAGCTCTCCTCTAAAGTAGAATGAGAGAAATTTAAATGTTTAGTTTTTTAATTAAAGATGAAGATAAAAAAGCTTTTGTTTATTGTAATAGTTATGTTTGATTTATCACAGTCAACATTTTTAATTTTTAATTATTCTTGGCAAGGTTTCTAATTCGAAAACAACAATAACAAAAGGGGCAATATTTATTGAAAGTACTAAATAAACATTAAACCAACCGTTACTTACAAGAATCTAATAAAAAAGATTTAGTTTTAGAAAATCCATCCTAAAATTACAATTTGTCACTTTTGTTATCAAAAAAAGTTAACCATAAAATAGTGGAATAGCTGATAATATATTTCTTATTCTTTTTTACAAATAATCCCAATGGAATTTGTTTTTTGAACTGATTTTATTCTTTAAATATACTTTGAACATTTTTTGACATGTATCTTTAAAATTACAATTATAAATTACTAAATTCATAACCATAATTTCTCTTGAAACAGCAAAAGAAAGAAAGAAGTTCAAAATGATATTTATTCTACTATATTCTATAAAATACTGTATTTCCCCAATATTCTGAAGAAAAAAACTACCTTATGAAGGAAACTGATTCATCTCTACAAAGAAATACTTCAGTTTGATAAAAAAAATCAGATGAAAAAATTAATTTTGGTTCTTGGAAAAAAAATTAACAGCATATTGACAATTGACAATAGAACTTACTGGTTGAAACGGGGCGGGGAGGGGTTTTAATTTTCACAGAATTAAATCCTCGCTTATCCTTAATTAATTTTAAAATAGCTTTACTGACAAATATCTTAAAGTTTGTATATATCATTAACGCCCACATTATTATCCGACACAGTTACTTTTTTCCAAACCCACTTTATATTCATTGCTAGCAAGTATAATACTGTCCTGCACGGTTGATCACTTTAAAGCCCAAAACTGGGCATGACAAATTGCCGCTTTAGTTGCACCAGCTAGCCCTGCCTGTTGAGCTAGGCCAACAATATTAACCCCTGCTGTAAGTGCTGTTCAATAGAGGGGAAATGTGTGTATGTTAATGTTGAAACATATTGATGTAGCCACATTAGATTTAATATTGCCTATTGTCAGATAGTCAATGGTTCAGTTTTAACAAAATGTGTAAAAATTGTGCTTCAATATAAAAAAAACACNCTCCCCCAACCTGTACATAATTCAGTTAGTTATCTAGCAATTACTGCTTTAATTATGGCATCTTAAGGTTTATTTTATGAGTTATATGACCTCTGGGCCCAGAGCATATAATTTAGTCTGAACAGATAATAAAATGTTATTTTATTTATCAGGAATTCTAACTGTGTATTTTCCTGGTATATCTAATAAAGCATTTACATATAATAAATGCCACACAAATAAAACAAAGAACAACAAAACACTTCTTAAGCATTTCAAATTCTCAAAACTTGGAATCCAAATCTGGAAAAAAATAATGAGACCGATAAGGAAAGTTTTAAATTGCATGTTCAGGGACTGAATTTAATGAGTTTGAGCTACATCAATGAAATACCAACTATTGGTTCAAATTTAACAACTGATTCAAATTTAATTGGTTATTCTGTCAAATTTAAACCAGAAGTAGGCAGTTAAAACAATTGTTTTTTCTTAGTTTTTTAAAAACGATGACCCTCTAGTCAATCAGATATCTATATCTATAACTAGGGTTGTTAATTGTTTTGGTTCATTTTTAAAAAACTTTAAATAAACTTCAAACTATTAAACTGTATTCTGTTCAGGTCTGCTTTTATAAAGTTTTGCTTTTATCCTAAGCTAAGAAACAGAAGATGACTGTTTCAAAATCTTCTCTTTTGGTTCGTTTTACTGCATGTATTTGCTCTCAGGATCAAAGTTAGTGTAAGAAAAGCATATTTTTAGAATAAACAATTTTTAAATTGTTGGTGAACCTTTAAAAGTCCTAAAACCATCAAAAATGAATTTACTTTTTGCAAATTATAATGCAGAATTAAAAGTTACAAAAAATACTTTCTCCTTAATATAAAAATAATGAAGACAATTTCTAAACAATTTAATGGTTTCCTTACATATCCATACAATACCCCATTAGATACTAAGGGTATGCATAGGGTTGGTAATCGTTTTTGAAAACGATCGTTTAACGATCGTTTTTTGCTTCGTTAAACGATCATTTTTAAAAACGATCGTTTCGTTTTCTCAAAAAAACGATCGTTTTAAAAACAACCCACTCGTTTTGAACTGTTAGAAAACGATGAACAATCGTTTTTGAAAACGATCATTTTCAGAAAAACGATAAGCGACCGTTTTTTATACGATTGTTTTTAAATAAACGATCGTTAAAAAATAACGATCGTTTTTGAAAAAAAAAATTATCATTTTTACGACGTCCTGAAGATAGTCATAAATGTCGTCTTTAATTAGATTTATAAAATGTTCAGCGGAATTGAATTGAATTGAAGAAATTTGTTCTACTTTTGAGAGTGCAGAGCCGCCATGAGCCCCGCAAAATGGTCAATATGAACTTTAAAACCTAATTCTTTATTTGTTTTATATATGCTTGAAATTTGGCACACAAGAAATTAAAGTACAAGATATTAAAAATATTAGGTTTTGATCATAATTGTTTAGTTAATGAAAGGTCATCCCTAGAAGACTGATTTGATTAGTGATTGGATAAGGTAATGATTGATAATTACGTCACATAAAGATAATTAATTCTACAGATCGAAAGAAGGACTGTAGTCTCCAAATTTACGGTTATTATCAAGAAGGGTAGTCGTTAACGATCGTTAACGAAGGGTAGTCGTTAACGATCGTTAACAAAGGTTAGTCGTTAACGAAGGGTAGTCGTTAACGATCGTTAACGAAGGGTAGTCGTTAACGATCGTTAACAAAACGACGAACTTTATAAAAACGATCGTTTTGAAAAACGATCGTTTTTTTAAACGATCGTTTTTTATAACGATCGTTTAAAAAACGACAGTTTTTAAAAAACGAACTTTTTAAAAAAACGATCGTTTTTAAAAACGATCGTTTCGTTTTTCGATTTTCCTCGACGTTTTCTTAACGAAACGATCGTTTTTTTCAAAAATCAAAACGTTACCAACCCTAGGTATGCATGAAGTTGTTCATCATTCTTTCCCTTCTCATTAATTTGTCCAATATTTCCACAGCTTTATTTGTTTATTGATATTCAGTAAATGTTTATATTTAACTATAAAAATGTTCACATAATTTAAAGTTCCCAATATTATTGGTTATCAATTTCGAATTATTGACAACAGTTCTTATTTGGGTCTATTAACAAACCTATATTCCATGAGGTGCCATAACCAACTCCTACAATACAAACTCCAGAAATAAATACTCCTCAAATAGAAATTACTTATACTGAAATACAAACTCATGAAATATGTACTACTGAAAAACATACTTCTTAAATACAAACTCTTGAATACAAACTCCTGAAATACAAACTCCCAAAATACAAACTCCTGAAATACAATCTTCTGAAATACATACTCCTGAAATACAAACTCATGAAAAACAGACTTCTTAAATACAAACTCATGAAATAATAACTCCTGAGATACAAACTCCTGAGATACAAACTTCAAAAATACAAACTTCTGAAATACAAACTCATGAATACAAACTCATGAAATACAAACTCATAAATTCAAACTTCTGAAATACAAACTTCTGAAATACAAACTCATGAAATACAAACTCCTGAAATACAAACTCCTGAAATACAAACTCCTGAAATACAATCTTCTGAAATACATACTCCTGAAATACAAACTCATTAAAAACAGACTTCTTAAATACAAACTCATGAAATAATAACTCCTGAGATACAAACTCCTGAGATACAAACTTCAAAAATACAAGCTCATGAAATACAAACTCATGAAATACAAACTCATGAAATACAAACTCATGAAATACAAACTTCTGAAATACAAACTCCTGAAATACAAACTTCTGAAATACAAACTACTTAAAGACATACTACTGAAATACAAACTTATGAAATATGTACTACTAAAAACAGACTTCTGAAATACAAACTCTTGAAACACAAACTCCTGAAATACAAACTCCCAAAATAAAACTTCTGAAATACAAACACTTGAAATATAAACTCCAGAAAAATAAACTTCAAAAATACAAACTCATAAAATATAAAATTCGGAAATGCAAACTTCTGAAATAAAAACTTCTGAAATACAAACTCGTGAAATACAAACTCATGAAAAATAAAATCATGAAAAACAAACTCTTGATATATAAAATTCTGAAATACAAACAATCGCAATATAAACTGCGGAAAGAAACATGCCTGCAAGATCAAACTTCTGAAATGTGAAACTCTTGAATATTTGGAAAATAAAGTATTCACATTTAATCTTTCATCATTCAAACCCATAGGTAAAGTTAACCCTTCGTGACCCAGCAGGTTTCTAGTATTCAAATTAAGGGAAATTCGAGTTATAAATGGATAATTGATTTTTAAACTTTTCCAAAATGGTTCCATTGCAAATTATTGTTTTCGTTCTTAGAAAAATAAAATTTTAACATCCATTTACGGTTTTGTCGATTGTTAGTTCCATTCACAACAGTTGATCGTTAAAGATGTGCGATCGTTAAAGATGTGCGATCGTTAAAGATGTCTTCTCTTTTTATCTCTTATTTGTCTGAAATTATAAACGCAGTTTTAAACATTTTATTTAACATTTAAAAGACAAAACAAAAATTATGATTCAGTCAATTTATCTTTTTTCATAATAGTTTCAAGTAGATGACATGGTGACATGATCTCATAACTGTTCAGTTTGTCACATGACCTTCTATTTGCCTTGTGGGTCACACTCACATGACCTTATATTTGTCTAGCAGGTCACAAGACCTTACATTTGTCTAGTATGCAACATGACCAGATATTTGTCTAGTAGGTCACATGACCTTATATTTGTCTAGTAAGTCACATGACCTTATATTTGTCTAATAGGTCATATGACCTTAAACTTTTCTAGTAGGTCACATGACCTTATCTGCCTGTTTGCTGGCAGCATGAACAGGTGTTGTATTATTCTCTTCTCCAGATGGTTTATTTGACCAGATCTGCTTCACCTAAAAACAAAATTATATAAAACTCTTATCCAGACAAGTTTATATCAAGAGTTCAATCAATCAAAATTCTAATAAATGATAACATTCCTCACAAAATAATATGTTGATATAATATTTTACCTCTTCTTTAGATCCTGCAAATGTTCCAAAAAGCAGATCAAGAGGAACATGCATAGCTCCATAGTTGCAATCAAAATGAGCATGATGGAGAAGATGGAAATAATCTCCACTTCCAGGCCACTATAAACTCAAAGTAAGAAAAAATCTAGAATCCTGTCTAGAATCCTACTTGGAATCCTACCTAGAATCCTACTTGGAATCCTACATAGAATCCTACATAAAATGCTGCCTAAAATCCTACATATAATCCGACCAAGAAACCTACCTGGAATCTTCCTTGGAACCGTACCTGGAAACCTACCTGGACACCTAAGTGGACACCTACCCGGAATCCTACCTGGAAACATACCTGGAAACCTCCTTTGAATCCTACCTGGAATCCTACCTGGAAACTTACCTGGACACCAAACTGAACACCTACATGGAATCCTACCTGGAAACCTACCTGGAATCCTCCTTGAAGCCTTACCTTGAATCCTACGTGGAAACCTACCTGGACACCTAACTTGACACCTACCTGGAATCCTACCTAGAAACCTACCTGAAAACCTCCCTGGACACCAACCTGGAAACTTATCTGGATACCTACCTGGAATCCTACCTGGAAACCTACCTGGAATACTACCTGGGCCCTACCTGGAATCCTACTTGGAAACCTACCTGGAAACCTAACTAGACATCTATCTGGACACCTACGAGTACCTGGAAACCTATCTGTAACCTATCTGGACACCTACTTTGACTGCTACCTTAAAACCTACCTGGAATACTACCTGGAAACCTACCTGGAAACCTAACTAGACATCTATCTGGACACCTAAGAGTACCTGGAAACCTATCTGTAAACCTATCTGGACACCTACTTTGACTCCTACCTTAAAACCTACCTGGAATACTACCTGGAAACCTACCTGGAAACCATCATGTCCTAACCAAGCACCAACTCCACAATCTATGAGAACAGCTAAAGCATGAACTGGGTGAAGAGACAGGGCAACTAAAATTAAACTAATAATAAGACTTATTCCTGTTTTACAAAGTGTTTAAAGTACTGCAGAATAGTACAATATTCATTCTACAGGATGAAATTTGTACTGCTAGTACATGTTTATATATTACCAGGTATAAGTACTGCAGAATAGTACAATGTAGCTTCTACAGGATACATATTTGTACCACTAGTACATGTTTATATATTACCAGGTATAAGTACTGCAGAATAGTACAATGTAGCTTCTACAGGATGTAAATTTGTACCACTAGTACATTATATATTACCAGGTATAAGTACTGAAGAATAGTACAATGTTGCTTCTATACAGGATGCATATTTATACAACTAGTACATATATATTACCACTTACCAGGTATAAGTACTGCAGAATAGTACAATGTTGTCTCTGCAGAATGCATATTTGTACCGCTGGTATATGTTTATATATAACCAGGTATAAGTACTGCAGAATAGTACAATGTAGCTTCTACAGAATGCATATTTGTACCACTAGTACATGTTTATATATTACCAGGTATAAGTACTGCTGAATAGTACAATGTAGCTTCTACAGGATGCATATTGGTACCACTCCATGCAGTCGGATTGTAGGACTTGTGATGAAGAGAATGAACCTTAAAAATGTAGGATTTTCAAGAATTTGTTTCTATTTCTATTTTGTTTCGTTGATTTTATTTAGTTTACCTTTTTGTACAAAAATTTACCAAAGTCTGGAACAGTTGTCGTCTTCCAAGGATGCATCATTCTACAAAATACATACTGAGGTGGAAACTAGAGACATTTTTACCATGGTTATATCAGATTTAACTTTGGTAGAATAAATGAAGACTACAGATTTTTCTAACCAAGATTAATTTTAACCATGGGTCTTATCATTGTAAGAGTTTTCGGCATCAATACAGCTCGGATTTTTAACCATAGGTCTACTTAAAGATAAAGTGGGTTTAAAGGGAGTAACCGGCAATGTAAGGTAGTTGAACTAAGTATGCAGTGTTGTGGAAAACTTCTTTCGGATTCATTTGAGACATACTAAACCTTTTAAAGATCTGTAAATCTTGAGTTTGAGCGCAAATTCGACATTCAAAACTCCTACTTTGGGGGTGGATATGTATTCAGAATTAGTTTTTTTTTGGATTATTAAATAACGACAACGAAAAATAAAGTAAAAATTATACAGCAATCTAATTAGATGGTTAGGAACATATTTCTCAAAAGAAATTTGTCAATAAATAAATGCTAAAATCGATTATTTCATTTTCATTATTATATTGAATTTCTTATTTTCTATGAATTTATTCGCAGATTTTTTCAAATTCTTCAAATGTCGTCTTTTCAATAATATTCCAGAAAATCTTTCTTTGTGAATAATAATAAACCAGAGTAATGAGAAAATAGAAACTAATAATTGAGCAAGATTACTTATTTTCGATGATAAGATTAATTTTTATTTTCTCAACATGTTCCTGTACGTAGCTATAGTTTTTTATAGAACTTTTTACATTTTATGTCGTCGTTATTTAATAATTTAAAAAAAAAACTAATTTTAAAAACGTATCCACCCCCAAAGTAGGAGTTTTGAACGTTGAATTTGCGCTCAAACTCAGTATTTACAGATTTTAATAAAGTTTACTACTGTGATCATGTGATCAGGGGCGTACAAGAGCATTTGTTTAGGGGGGGGGGGTCACTTTTTTGTGCCCCTTGGCAACATTGTGTCACCCCTTAAAACCCCATTTTTTGAAAAAATATTGATACCTTTTATAAGTTAGGGACCGCACCCCCCCCCCCTAAACACTTTGCTTTGATTGGACATACGGCTGCTATAATTTCTAGACTCTTGGTTGGAACTGTAGTCAATATAACCTAAAATCTTCTTATGCTAGTCAAACCAAACCATCTTTTTAAACTACGGTAGAAATTTAACCATAGTGAAACAAATCTCTTCAGTTTAGGGTTGCCCACATTTGCTTCTTTCTTTGTCAAATCAATTAATTTACCAAGATTATAAGAATATATGTTATCCTGAATGCATCCCTCGTATTGCTAAATTCAATGTTTTTGGTCGTACTTTAGGTTTTATCTTTTGTAGCTAACCTTAAATCCATTTTTAAAGAAGTTAATTTCGTTATAGTTGTTTATATATATTTATACCTGTGCACTAAATAGAAATGTGGGATACGGTAGTGAGTTACAGTAAGAGCAAGGATGAATGTTAGAATAGGTGAGACCGATAAACTATTCTATAAAATAGTAACTTTTAAAAATTTTAAAATTATGATTTTAAGGAAAATATTTTTTTAAAATTTTGACTTTTGAACGAAACTGTAACCTGTATTTTCATGGTACCGAGAGCCCAATGATGACAAAGAATAATTTCAATCAGACTTCCACACAAGCTGAATTTATCAAAACATACAAGGATTAGAATATTGCAAATAGCTCACCCCTCTGTCTTGGGTTAGCTTTAGCATTGTTCTTGTAGCAATGTAAAATATCGATGATTTCTATGTTTTCATTGAATAAATTCCAATATTAAGACATCTTTTCTTAAACTGGATAAAAATATTTATCAGCCGTTTTTTAAAAAATAATTTTAATTATTGGGTTTTATGATTAGATTTTAGATTCAAGAGTGGTCGACATGAGAACCAGAAAACGTTGGAATTCTTTTAGACTTTTTTAAATTTTGAATTGTATCATTTAATATATAATGTTGCATTACAAAATTATGTGCGACATTTTAGCACAACATTTACTTGCAACAATTTTCTGGTTCTCACCTGTACCGATCTTCAAAAAATATTAAAAGGGATTTTGAAAAAATTAACAAAAAACAACTTTAATAAATGATTTTCTGATATAAATTCTCTCTCTCAAATCCTTTGAAAAAAACATGTAGATTCATGTTCGCTCTTAAGATGTGTTCCATATACAGGGTTACCCACTAAGGATGAGACTTAAAACAACCGAAAACTTGTTTAATATGATGATCCTTTGGGTAAATTTAGTCTTCTGCCTTACATATAAGTCTCATCTTTGGTGGGTAACCCTGTATCTACCTGGCGGTTGTGGTCCAGAATGCGTCGTGTTTTATTTGCTGCATCGAAGGGTAGACTGGGTTCATCTAGAATATTCCATTGATCAACAGTTGTCGTCTTCATTTACAAGTTTATCTTTGTTATTTTGTATGTCGTCTAACATAAGAATCTTTCAAAAATATATTATATTGGAGATCATCGAATAATTTAGATATATGATATCTATAATTTTTAACTTAAATGAATGAAATTAGTTTTTGTTTTTAATTTGTTGTGAACCTTATATTTATGCAGTTTATCCTTGAGGGGGGAGAAATAGAGAAACCAATCCCAGAATCCACAGATTATCCAGGTTCCAACAATATTCCTAAATATATATATAATTGTAGATCACACAGATTATCCAGATTCCAACTATATTTTTATTATGTACATAGAGGGTGAGTCCAAATTATAGTTTGATGTGTGTCCTCCAAACAATAACGACACATTCTTGGTCTAAAAAATCTCTTTAGATGTTTTGAGGGTAAATCGCGAAACTCTCTTCTTAAAATAAAAAGTATACACACGTAAAAGCGTTTCGATACTATTTCTATCGAATCCTGAAGTTTCATCAAGAGCGGTAAATAGAATAATATTTTACATAATGCGAACCGTTCCGTCATCTTTGTTATTTTTATTTTGGTCAACTGAACAATAAATATTTCTTCCAAACCCTATTCCTACTCGTGGGAAGGTGTGAAAGGTAGACAGGGAGGGGGGGGGGGGGGGGGGGGGTTCGGACTTCACTATGTGTTGGTCTGTTGCAATACCATTTATTTTTTCTTAAACTAACACTTTAACTACTCATGCCTCTCACATTAGAAAGCCCTTGATAATTAAAGGCAGATTCAATTGAAATTTTTTTGCACAGAAGCATTGAAAGAGATTTTGAACTTTCTGTTTTTCTGTAGAAAAAGAAAAGGGACGTTGAGGTTTGCCCCCCCCCCCCCCAGGGTATTTTGGATAGAGGAAAAGTTGTAAGTTTCAAATTTTGGGATAATATTTCTTAATTGGTGAGACCTTGATATTACTGTTTCAAGGTATGAAAAATAGTCTATAATTACATTTTCATTTTCTATGTTTTAATAAGAAAAGTATAGCGGATTATTTTTTTTCGGGGCGGGGGGGGGCATGTGAGATACAAAAAAATAAATAAATAGAATTTTTCCCAATTTAACCAATTAATCAATCAAATCATTTCTTTTTCTCTTCGTCTTTAAAGACCCGTTCTAAACTGTCATGGTTAATAAACTGTCAGATCGGAATGTTTGTTTTAATATTTTATTAACTGAAAAAATTAGCAAGACAGAACTTTTGATGTTTATGTTTAAATAATGACCTGATTAATATATGGGAAACCCAGTCTAGACTGTATTCCCTACCAGGTGATGTTTATGTTTAAATAATGACCTGATTAATATATGGGAAACCCAGTCTAGACTGTATTCCCTACCAGGTGATGTTTATGTTTAAACATTGACCTGATTAATATATGGGAAACCCAGTCTAGACTGTATACCCTGCCAGGACCAAAACCAGGATAAGCTTCAAGTCCACATTTCTCAGGTAGATAGTACATACAGGCATAAGCCATCATCCAAGACCTGAAAAATAAGTCTTAATTGGCAAAATGATATTTTAATTTTTTTTTGAACGAAAAGATCAAGAATTCTAGATTTCTAGAATTAAGAGAATTAAAAGGTTCTATATGTTCAATGATTAAAATAGATTTTTCTCACCAAATTTGAGGAAAAAGCAGGTTTAATCAAACAATTTTGAAAATTGAGATGAAAGTCTTGTATTAGATTTTAAATAATGATTTTATCAATTATGAAAGTTAACTTTTTAAATTTTATTTTATTTTTTTCTTGTTTTATAATTTTGAACAAATGTTCTATTTATAAAATGAAGACCTGGCTGATGCAAGGAAGGCCATACAGTGACCAGAAATATCCATCAAAGGATTCACATAGGGCTGAAATTTGAAATGATGTTCACTTTCTTTTTCTTATAGAATAAAATGGATTCTAAAGTCAAGTTGATATGCTTGTATCAGCTAAAATCATTGTTTTATATTAATTAATAAAATTTATGAAAAACACAGCAAACTTGGAAAACTTTTAAAATGCGTTTTTATGAATAAAGTATTTTATTTTAACTGTTTAGTTTAATACGAAAAATAAGTAAGTAATATATTTCAAACAAAAAATGTATTGATAGAGCTCACCTTTTCAGGTTTTTCATTCTCATCCTTCCTTATAGCAGCAGAAACATGACCTAGAGGCCATATAAGAGGAGCCAGGAGGGTAGGTCCTGATTTTACCATTCTTAGATTTGCTAAAATAAACAACTTATTGAACAAGGTTGGAGCTCGAAAGAATATTTCGTTTTTTTTTGTTGAAATGCTTATTGCAAACTCGAAACACAAAAAAAACCTATCCCCTAATCAAATATCGACTTATATCTGGAAAACCTTTTACTTGTTTTTCTGAAAAATCCTGCAACTGACTTTTAAAATGGAGATACCGCAATTGGTAATTGTCAATTTGTACATAAAAGTATTTTATGTTTATAAAATATTGCCAGGTCTAATTTAAAAACTAAAAGATCATCCACTTAACAGTTTACTTAGAAACAATTTGACTAGCTTTGACGACTGCTTAAAATGAAATGTAATAAATGTTTAATTTAAGCTTAAAACACAAAATGATAAAAACAGACATTTTGCGGTTAAAGACAAGAAACTAATAAAAAAACAAAACAAGTTTGAAACATATGTTGATAATTACAAAATCAGGGATTAATATAAGTAAAAACAATAAGAGAACTGAGTTCTTACCACAAACTTTGATGTTTTAATCCCTGTATCGTTGTAATTAACTGTCCGAAACCTTAGATATTGCAAAGCTGTACACCATCAGGTTACAAAGAAATAGGGAAAACTCAAATCCTTTATTAGGTTATATTGTTGTAAACAAACTGAAGTATATGATTTCAACTTGGAAAGAGAAGTCCATACTGGAAAGTGTATACTGTACAGAATTTATTATATTTTATAAAGCAATATTACACTGTAAGAACAAACTGTACTGTCAAATTCCCTACTGCCCTAAAACCAAAGAGAATATAATATATATTAGAGTGGAATTTAGACAATCCCTCGATATGAATTTTGTCAGTCCCTTTCAGCCTGAAAGGGAGTTCAAAGTGTACAAATCATGTAAATGTTCACAAATTATATGCAGTAGAGTACATTAATACAGTATGTTCCCTAGACTATCCATTTCAATTTCGAATTTTTAAAGCTGTTAAATAAACTTTATTAAATGAATTAGGTGAATAAAAAACATCAATTGATTTATTGTTTTAACGTAAATTAATCCTTTGTAAAGTGAAAGGCCTAGAGTCTATGTGAAATGATCATCAGTCAATTATTAAACCAGCCTATTTCATAATTTGGTTATCTTTTAATATTAATTTTAGATTTTCTATAAAATGATGTTCCATGGCCCAAAAGGTTATATATAGCACAAATATGTGAAGTACACCTGCAGTATGGAAACAGTACAACAAAATGGCCGTTTTACAGTTTTTTATAGTAAATTCCACTTTATCATATATTCTATTCTCTTAGCTTAAAACTGAACTTTTACATCAATTAATTGGACTATTGTGCAACGTGCTTTATGCAGTATATTGTGTACTGCAGGTGAACTTCTTTATAGAAAAATAAATCATTCTTCTAGAAAGTTAAGACGCCTATTTCAATTAGAGATACTTACGAAGAATCTTTGTAAGTAAGTCACCGGAAAAAAGTTTCTGGAAAAAAAACCTGGAAATAAAAACTTTTGCAAAAAAGTCACAATTTTCTGAAGTCCTAGGAAAAAATGTCATTGAAAATAAAGTACAGTGTTAAAGATTACGAGGACTTTTTTCCTAAAATAATATGAGGGCTGCCAATAAAGTCTCAGGAAATAAGATCACAGGAATTGAAGTCCTGAAGAAAAAGTCCTTTGTCTTGTGAAAATGAGGTCAAGTCTGAGACGTTTTTAAAAATAGGATTTTTTTCTAAGCAGTTGCATATTGAATATATCCAGGGGTGTTTTCAATATCAATTGTAAACATCCTTTGTTCTTATGCATAAAATAGGACTATTTACGGGGACGTTTATACATGAAATCCTACTGGAGCAGTAAAAAAAGTCATATCAAATAAAGTCTCAAAATTGTTGGACTTTACCTTGAAAAATTTTTTATTTCAAGGACTTTTTTGGCGGTTACCACTTAAAAGAAATCTACTTTTGATTCACATTTTATAAATACACAGAACACATAACATGCTATATTTTTAATGTGTGACATAACTAGACCATATCCCTCCAGGATGTCCCTGTGAACCAGGATGATACTTTAAGTCACTAAAACCTTAAGGCTAATGAATATCCTGCCATGTCATGGCCCATCTCATGCAAAACAGTTAAACAGATTGTTAAAACAAACTGAAATCTTTTCCTAATTTAAAGCAAGAAGTAATTAAACCAAGCACTGTCGCCAGTTTAACCAGTTCTCTTGAGCGCTGGATCAACTGAAATAGAGTAGTTCAATTTAGTCTAGGTAGTTCAACTACTTCTCTATTTTTCAAAATTTGGTCCCAGGACACTTTCATTTTGCTTTTTATTTCTATTTAGTCACTTGGTGCAACAATATCAATACATCACGTCGTTAAAGAAAATTGGCTAAACTCAAGTTCTATATTTTTAAAACAAATTTTCGTTATGCCAATCGAAAATAATGCTTTAAAATGTGTTTTTTAAAATTTTTTTTTATCAGGAAAGACTATCATTTCATACAACAAGAATTTGAGAAAGAAAAGAAAAATATGATAGAAGAAGAATAAATTACTAAAACTTAATTATACAGCATGTTTAACAATACAAAATGAAAGTCATTCTGTAAAACTTTGGTTCAATCTTAAAAATGATAAATTATTTAAGGATGAATCTTTCAAAAAAATCTTACTTTTCCTTAATACATATCTATATAATAAAACAAGACACTCGTATATGTTGCGTATAGCCGGCCAAACGGCTGTACCGATTGGGCTTAAATCTTTTGTGGACACTAATGGGTGCCCAGGGGGTGTTAAATGCTAAAATGAATTCGAAATTTTTAAAAAAATTTTTTTTATTTTTTTCTTCAATTTTGTTTTTTCACGGGCAACGCCGAGCCTTCAAGCTAGTTACAAAAAAAACAGTATAGTTCAATACTGCAATCATTACCCTTGTCAACTAAAAAAAAACACTGATCCGCATTTTGCAGATTTATTCCACTATACAGCAAATCTTTTTTAAATCTTGGTTTTTAAGGGCAATGACAAATTTTAACGATTTTTTTTGAAATAGTGGCATAAGAATTTTACTAAAGACTAGATTTATTTATTGATTGTCATGATTAGAAACATATATAGACTTTTAAGATGTATACTAAAACTTTAAACATTTCTTACGAAGAAAGGAAGATATTTGGAGAAATATTTCTGGAGTAAATTTAGTTTGTATTGTTGTAATCTTTGATTTAAATAATACAATGTTTTGAAAAATGCTAAGATTTAAACAAATCATACAAATTTTTAAATTTTATCTGAACTACAAAAAAGGATATCGATTGTATCAACAATTATAACAGATGAAATTTAAATTTTTTCTCTAAATATTTTCCTTTTCAAGTAAAAAATGTTTAAAGTTTTACATACCACTTTATTAGTCATAATTAGGCACTATTTATGTTAATTGATACTTCACATCTTTAAGAAACCTCTTATGCCACTATGTCGAAAAATTAAAAAAAATCTTTTATTTAAACTTAAAACAGAAGTTTAAAAAACCTCCTGTATTACACAGGCAGAATTTGATGTATTGCGCATGCTCATTTCTGCATTGCGGCGGCTCGGTCTGTCTAGAAAATCTGGGAGGCTTGTGTCTGCATAGTGGAGGCTCATGGCGTCTGGGGGTTCCCTACCTCCTTGGGGTGGGTTACATAGAGTGCTTGTTATTTCTTGCTTCATCTACAAATACGACTTTACAACTTGAACCTAATTAAAATATACAGGCTTCTCTTCTATATAGCTTGGTTCGATGCTTGAAATGTCGACTTCCAAGAAAAAGCAAGATCTAAAGAGCACTGTATGGAGATATGAAAATCAACCTTTTAAAAATTTTACACATTGCAGAGAAAAAAATTGGTGTTTATTTCTACACATTTGTACATTACTTTTAAGACTACTTTGTATACACAGGGTTACCCACAAAGGATTAGACTGCAAAGACGGCCTGAAACTCTTAAAACATGACAAACCAAAGGTTTAATTGAGTCTTCTTGAATATAGTCTTGTTAAGGGATTATTATATGATTTGGCAAAGAAAGAAACAAGTTTACAGTTTAAGGAAACCGTGTAGTTATGGGAAACCGTGTAGTTATGGGAACACGTGTAGTTATGGTAACACGTGTAGTTATGGGAACAGGAGTATAAATTCTGTAAAGTCGTCTCTGAGGTCTCATCCTTTGCTGGTAACCCTGTATGTATTCTCGTGATTTAAAATATTTTGGCTCATACCTACTGCAGACCTCATCTTAGAATTTTGAGATTTTCATAACTTATCTAAGGCATATTAGTATAGATGATTTAAGAACAGAAAACAATTTTAACTGGTATTTCAGGTCATTGATTCAATTCTATTTTTGTTGTTTCTTTCATCCCTTGATGCTTTTATTTAATATCATGAATTTTCTTACTGAATGAATTACAACAGAGTTTTAATAAATGTTAAAATTTTGTCAGTAATATTAATCCAAATTAATCAGTAATATTGCATGCTTGTTACAATTTTTGCAGTTTTAACTTTTAATGGCGTTAACGGTTTGCGGAATAGTTAAACTATGTATATTGATCCTTGTCTGTGAACTGAGCAGTTTCTGGAAATCCAAATCAACGGCATTTAGAAAACATTAAAACATGTAAATTTTTTTCTTTTACAAGTTTAATGCAATTTGCTCAGCCCTACAGTCGTTACTTTATTTTAACGTCTGATCAAATAAAATGTTTTATAACATATAAAAATTCTTATTTTGGTCACAAATATAATCCTAGTAGTTTAAAACAGCTGCGATGTGATTCATGTCCTTCCTGTTCAGATATACTCTAAAGGCAAAAGGCTTAATCTAAACTTGGGATCGTGATAATTGAAGAGTTTCAAATCATCTTTACAGTTTCAATATTTGTTTGTTAACCTGTATGAAAATGAACACTCAATTTAAAAATAACTGATTGCTTACCTAAACCAAGCAGCAACTTCCCAAGTCTGTACCCTGGCACAACCTGCCTACTGCCTAGAACATTTTTCTATAATACTAAATAATAAATACCGATGCCCTTCAGGTTGGATTCTTCTATTCTCTTCCTTAACGATCGTTAACGAAGGGTTGTCGTTAACGAAACGACAAGCTTTATAAATATGATCGTTTTTAAAAATGATTGTTTTTTAAACCAATCATTTTAAAAACAACCGTTTAAAAAAATAATTTTTTTAAAAAGCAATCCTTTTTAAAACATCGTTTCGTTTTTCGTTTTTTTCGTCGCCGTTTTCATAACAATATTGTTTTTCAAAATATTTAAACGATAACATCCCTACTCTCTGGTCAGTCAGAAACTCCCTTAAAGCCGTCAATGGATTTTTATTTCCTCATTTTTTGTTGTAGAAAACCATTCGTATAATCAAATGAAGTTTCTTGACTGAATTTAGAGATGTTCGAGGAGGAAGGGGCTATTGGGACTCAGCTCCCCCCCCCCACCTCTCTCGTGTATTTTTTTAATAAAAATAAATTATATACCTTACATGAGAAATTGCTAATTATAAAGACGAGGCGTTGGAAATTTATCCGATGATTGAGTACGCCAGTACAGCTGTATTTTGACGTCACATGGTTATTTCGGTTGTTTGAGAGTCTAACGTTAGTTATTTAACATAATTGTGAATTTTTTGTGCTAAAAATTAACTAAAATTAATCACATTAATTTTTTATTTTACAATTTATTTTTTCATTTGTTGGATATAAGGACCGTCTGCTGAATTATAGCTGAATTTGTGATAAAGTTATGCTTCTCTTTTGTTAAAAAATAGCCAATAATTGTTAGTGAACATTTTCAGATGTCGTCAAATATTTTTACTGTGGAATGGGATTTTAAGCGATGAAGAAGAAAGGGGACCAGAAATTTCCAAAATTATAAACGGCAAATAAATTTTGTTTAAATGTCGTCTTCTGTTTAATCTTAGGCAAAGAAATAATATCGCATAAATTATTGTATTAATCTTACTCTTCAATTGATTTATGGGGATTTGTTTCAAAAATAATTCACTAATTCAATAATTTAATTGGATCACACGAATTCCTTACGCTGACAGATCCCCGAGTGTGTAAAAACTATTACATTTTTAAATAAATATTATGACAGTATATTTTTCAATAATTCATTTAAATCAGGTAGAGAGAGAATTCAATCTTGAATGAAAAAGTATTCAGATAATTGATTACTGTTAAAAAGTACAAGGTTATATACTTTTATAAAAGATATGAGAAATTTTTTTTTCTTATAAACACTTCACATACTTCAAACCAAAAGTAAATGTTCTAAGGGACTGATAGATGTAATTTCAAGTCACCATCCCAGTAAAGGTCCTATCAACAACAGTACCATTTAAACATTTACTAAAGTGGTTTCCTTGTTTTGTTTTAAAATAACTATTTAATCCATTACAAAAGACAACATTATAAAACGTCAACAAGGTAAATGTATACACTAGATTTCTGGAGAAGACGACATTAGTTACTATCTTTGTCTACCCGAGAAAATGCGTCGAATTTGCGTAGATTTTCTAAAGCGCTATTTTTAATTAGCAAAGTCTTTGGGTCAATTATTTATTTCAAATCTATATTTCTATCTATCTAGCTATTTATCTATCTATCTATTTATTTATATCTTTCTATATACCTAATACCTATCTATTTATCCATCTATCTATTTATTTATCAGCAACGGAGATTCTTCTCTCCAAACATTTCACCGTCTGATCCATCTGTTCTCGGAGTCATCTCAGTTTTGGTTTAAAACCTCTCCTAGTTCTAGTTTACATCTCTCCTAGTTCTAGTCTACAACCTCTCCTAGTTCTAGTTTACACCTCTCCTAGTTCTAGTTTACACCTCTCCAAATTCTAGTCTACTGCACCTCTCCTAGTTCTAGTTTAAACCTCTCCTAGTTCTAGTCTACAACCTCTCCTAGTTCTAGTCTACATCTCTCATAGTTCACACGTGTAGTTATGG